ATATATATATATATATATATATATATATATATATATATTTCAGTGTTAGTAATTTACGTGTTAGAAATGTAAATATAAAGCAAGATCTGCTCGAAAATCCTTCAAAATATTTCTCATAAATAAAAATAATAGAAATATAATACAAATTTGCTCTTTAGCTTGTGCGAGCTACTGTTGCTCCCCCAATGCCGCTGCTCACAGTCTCCACTCCACTAGAGAGAACCTCTTTCGCCTTTCCCTGTGAATCCACTTTTCATGAATCACATGACGATAGGCGTAGGGAAGTTGCTACCTGCTCTCTCATAACAACATCCGGTGCGCTTCGCTGCAATTTTCTGGTAATCGGAGAAACTCTAGCTCCAATTTTTAGTTTTCTACCATCCAATAGTTGGACATTTCGCAGCCAATAAAGCTTCATTCTTTCCACCTTTTTTTGTTGATTCCTGTTTTACTTTCAGCCGCTCTTCTGATTCATGATTTTTTTCACCTTCATAATAGAAATTGAATAAGGAAGTTCGATCTAATGTGACTAGGGTATCTAACGAAGAATCGTCCGGAAAGACGACTGCAGGTTGGATTTATTTATGCTTATTTTTTGTTTTCTAACCTTTTTGATCCCAGTTTTCTTATATCTCAATTTGTTCCCGTTGAGTGCCTTTCAGATGAGGAATCCTTCGATTTAGGTGTTAGGGCTGCATTGTCTATGCTTAAATTTTACAAAAGTGAGTTTATATAGCTACTTTTGGCAATTTTCCAGTTTCTTCTTTGGCTGTAACTAGCAACGATTGTTGTTTTTTAGGGTTTTCTATTGTTTATAAGTTGGTTTTAAACTTGGCAGGAGAGATATCACCACTCCTTCCCTTAAGCTGTCGTTATGTGCCAACCTGCAGCGTGTACTCGATGGAGGCATACAAGAGATATGGCGTTGTGAAGGGAACAATCTTGACAGCTTGGCGGCTCTGTCGTTGCAACCCTCTTGGTGAGTGCCATTTTATTCTTTTTCATGCTTTTGAACAAGTAGCCTACTCTGGTATTATTGCACTGTTTTAACTGTAATTTTCCTTTTTTTTCATGATGGAATGTTAATAAAGATGATATATTTTTGGGAAGATTTACGCACATTGTACTCAATTCTTATGTATTTACATACCTAAGTACTAAAATTCAATTCTTTCGCAATGTCACCTTTCCTATTGATGTATGAGAAATATGTGGAGTTAATTTTTTTGTGTTTTCTTGGTTATTTGTACCATTTTTATGTTTTTCCAGGTATTTTTGCATTTTTTTGTGAAGTGCAAGATTATAAGTTAAAATGGGAGCATTTGGAGCAAAAAAAACACCTAAATGTTGGTCTTGCGACCCAGCTCATGAAGTGGAGAATCGACGCTTGACATGCATCCTTCGACCAGGTGAAAACAAAGATGCTGGGAACCTGGTGCTCGACTCAGTGATCTAGCACTTGAACAATACACGTTCAGAACAAAGAAGCTAGAAATCCAACGCAGCATGTGAAAACCCACCGCCTAACTCAATTGTCATACAGGAAACTTGGCGCTAGCCCTATATTCCACATTAACATGCTAGCCTGAGCGATTGGAAACTCGACGTTCAATGTAGAAACTTGACACTCCCAAACTAATATATGTGGGAGTTACTTCGGTTTCTTATCTACGTGGCTTTGATAATGACTTTAATTCGACAAAATCCATGTAATGGGGAGCTCTAATGTCATTATTGTTCCCAGAGCTTGGTGAGAGCATGGAGGAATGTTTGAAGGGGATCGAGAGAAAGTGTTAGCGAGATTTTGTGAGAAGATTTTCTTATAATTTGTGCGCTTCCAATTAGATATTGTTGTGTAAGGAAGAGAGTTTGGTGGCTAGTAATTCTTGAGAACAACGATCATCTTCTACTGTATTTTTTTTTCTGAACTCTTATATTTGTTGGATTTGATGAATGAAGTCATATTTTCATTGTTTAATATTATGAGTAGCACTTAAATTTCTTTTTTCCCATTGGATTGGTAATTTAGAAAGCTAGATTTAACCACGTTATGTGATTGCTTTAATCTTGTGAAATAGTGATGTTTTAACTTCTTGCTTTTCATTTATTTTCATATGACCAGTTGATCTATTAGAAATTATTTTGATCTATGAGTTTTAGAAGAAATCTTAGTGGAAAGATTAAGTTAAATGCACAACCTTAGGAGAATAAGAATATTACTGCTGGGATAGTGCAATCACAAAGGGAAACACAAAAGTTTGGGGATTTTTGTATGATTTAGAAAACTAAACTGTAATATGAAATCCCAAGCCTTTTATTGACACTGGAGGAGGCTATGGAGAAAATCTGCTTCTGATTGTCACTAATAACTGATATCTCTTTGTTAAATTTAGATTTCTTGGGTCTAGTTCAGGAGAGAATCTTTCACTTAATGGAAAACCCCACTTTCTTTACTCAAGGTTCTTTTTCCTTTGCAAAAAAATATGATTAGTCATTTTAATACTTTCAATATCTTAATTCTCAAACTAGATTTATGACTATTAAACTAGAATATTCATCTGTTTTGTAAATTAACAAATTTCTCAAAAGATCTATAAACAAACTCAAATCTGTATATTACTAGAGCGACAATTCTATTTGTGTGGTTAAAGCATGCTTCACAGCATTATGACAAAGTTTTTTGTGCTCTTACCAAGGAATGATGTACAATTTTCATTTTAGGAGAATTTTAATTGAACTTTTGACATTTAGATTTGAAAAATGTAGTCCAGAAGAGTCTGACCAAAATGAAGACCAAAATATTAAGCAGGTCAAGATCATATGATTAAAAATTGAGAAAGAGTTGAAAGAAATAACAGGAAGGAGTGTAGTTCAGAAGAGTCTGAACTTAAGCCTGATAGATATAATGAAAAACTTTCCTCATAATTAGGAAAACTTGACTCACTTCTTTGAAAAGAATAGGAGTGACCACCACCACACTTTCCCTAGAGACTCCAAAAGTACAAATTAGACCAACAGTTCTTTTGATTCCTAGAATTGTTCAAGAAGCTTACAATTACGATCCTTTTTATTGAAGCTTTATAATAGATGCCTATTTATACAAAATTCATGAAGGATATCTTGAATAAGAAATAATAAACTAGGTGATTTTAACACTATGACCCTAACAAATGAGTGTAGTGTCATTATTCAGAGGAAACCTTAAAAAAATCTCAAAGATTTGGGTAGTTCCATCATTCCTTATGCTATAAGAGAGATTATTTCAGTAGTCTCTTTGTGATTTAGGGGCCATTATCAACTTTATATTCTTGTCTATCTTTAATAGATTAGGATTAAGAAAATCCAGCCAACCACGATAACCATTTAGTTAGCTTAACATTCTCTTACCTATCTTAGGGGGTGATATAGTATGTGCTTGTTATGGTTGATTTCATTATCTTATATATTTAGGAAGATAAAGAGATCCCTATTATCCTAGATGACTGCTTCTAGCCACAGAAAGAGCTGATACCGATTTAAAAATGGGGATTCAACCATGAGAGCATTAGATCAAGAAATAATGTTGAAAAATTATAATCCAATTATACTCCCTATATATCCTAAAAAATATTGCTGTAAAATTGAGATTGAGAAATTGCATGAAATTCTGAATAAAGGTTTAGAAAAGAATAATTATAATTAGAAAATTCAAAATTGGGACTAAAATTTGATGATTAAGGAGAGTCTATAGGGCATATATGAGGTGATTGATTAAGGACTATTAAAATAACAATTTGATCCTTAAGGAAAACTCTAAGCATGATTTGACATTGTCCGGTTGAGGATACCAAATCAAGCGCTACTTGGGAGACAACTTGAGCGTTATCTTATGAGTTGATTGCTCATTTTCCTTAGAGTTGGCTTTATTTTATTTTTATTGATGTTTTTGGATTGTGTATGCTTGATATGATTTGGATTTTAGTTCATGTTAAGTTCCTTTGGGACCTTGAAAAACCTTGAACAGGGATTTCTACCTCTAGATCCGCCTTGTTAACTCAAGAAACCCGACATTACTCCTAGGACCCAAGCATTGCTTTGCCACTTTGGAAACCCAATGTCCGCTCGGGTACGACCCGCCCAACGCCCATTCAAGCAACTCAACGCCGCCCTGTATCACACACTTATTTACAGATCTAACTAAGTGCTACTTTGCCCACTTTGGAAACTCGACACCCCCAACCTCACTTTCCTTATTTAGCCTCTCGATTGCTTCTTAATCTCGCATTTCTCTTAGCCCTAACACTTCAAATCATAGAAGAAAAAGAAGAAAACATGAAGAATAAAGGATTCTTATAGCATTGTATAGGGTTTGAGGTAAGATTTCTTTGCTATTTTCTTCCGTTTTTGGTTACATCTCTTGCTCTCCTTCCTCTTCCATTCCTTGTCATTATTCATGGCCCCAAGAGTTAAGAGAGAGAAGAGACAAACCAATTTTTTTGTCATGAAATTTGTGAGTGTCGAGGTTGTTACCCGACACAACAACTAATTGATGCCAAAAATTTATCCAAGAGAGAGGATTCCTGGAGCCTGTGGGCAAGTTAGATAATGAGTTGTAATTGAGAGAGGTTTTACTACGAGATCGGGGTAGCTGTGATTCATGAGATCCTTGAGTTTTAAGCAAATGCTAAGAATCATAAGGATGAAGTTTTTGTGAGGGGAAAGCTATTTCATTTCAACTCTAAAAATATTATACTCTTTTTTGCTTTCCCAATGTTCCCTATGATGATAACTCTCTTTGCATCGCTTCTGATAGTGGTTTAAATGTTATTATTTCTTTTCTGATCGATTCCTGTGGTTCCGGCGTATTCGTGACTATATATTTGTCAATATGCCGAGTCGGTCGATGGCGTGAAATTATTTTATTTCTGTTAAACTTTTGCCTGTGACCAATGTGAGTGAGACCGGGAGTGGACGGTGCTTAAAAATTTTCTTCCAAAGTAAAAGTCCATAGATGTTGGGGAGGTCATTAATAGTTCTATCCATGGCAACATAAAGGGTGATTCGCTGATTGGACTGGGGCATCCTGTTGTTAATTTTACTTTATGTGTAAAGGTAGGGGTGAAGTTTGAGAATAGGGAGAAGCAGCTTCATCCTTTGAAAGCTATCATGAAGAAACTATAGGGACTTACAGTAGGACTTCCTTCGAAAGAGGAGAGAGTTTTATATCTGCAGCTTCCATACCTCGACCTTCCACCTTTTCATTTACTTATCTATCTAAGCAACTTAAATTCTAGGGCGAAGACATTGCAATTTTGCAACGGTGGCAACATTATATAGGGAAAAAGATGGATTCTTCTGTTGATCAGCACCGTAAGGAGTTTGATCATCAAGTGTAAACCTTCCACACCCTTGCTGATATGATCAGGCATGGTAAGATGCATCAGGGTGGGCCCTAACACTGCTAGGATGTTGGAGGTACCACCTTTCAAGTACCACGGTGGGACTGTTGAGCCCATGGAGGAGGTAGATGACATTTATTTGATTGTTGGATTGTGATTTTGTGATCCATATTGCGACGTGGTAGATGTAATTTTCTCTAGATTTTAGACTTGTTTCTTGCAATGTGATGCTCTATTATATGATTTCTTGTGATATTTGGGACTATGATATGATGTGATTACTATTATTGCTTGTGTTTTACTTTTCCAGTATGCTTATATATGCTTGCCTTCTTGTTTATTTTCTTTTTTAAACTTACATATTTTTGTATTACCTGTTTAGTTTATTTCACTTTCATGTTATCTACATGTGTAGTGCAGACTAAGTTTAGGGGATGAAATTTTGTTAAAGATTGTGCCTCAAAGTAAAGTAAATATCTAAACTTTAGAATTCTTTTTAAAATGGTTAAATTAATAAAGGATTCAAGGTGATTTAATAAGAGGCAAAGACAACGAGTAGGGATAACATGAACTTTTGATAAGATTTGAAACTATTAGAGATTCCCAAATAACTAATATTTAACTTTTATTAATCAGTCTTCTATATAAAAGGAAGCATTTGGTGCAGAAAGCACCGGTGTTGGTTTGGCTACCTGGAACCTGAAGTGGAGATTTGACGCTTGACATGCATTGTTCGACCCGGTGAAAACAAAGAAGTTGGAAACCCGATGCTCAACCTAGCGATCTAGCGCTCGAATAGTAGACACACGCTTAATAGAGAAGCTGGAAACCCAACACCACATGTAAAAATGCAGCACCTACTATGCTATGGGCGACCCAGAGCCCATATGGAAACCTGGTGCCAACCTTACATCCCACTTTCACATGCTTGCTCGAGCAATTGAAAGCTAGATGCTAAAGAGGGAAACTTGGCGTCTCGACATATGGGAGTTTATTTTCTGTGTGGCTTGGAGTAAGACTCAAAATTGAAATAATTATGTATTGAGGAATTCTTGGTGTCATTAAAGTGTTCGAAGCGTGGAGGAATGTTTGAAGGGGATCGAGAGAAAGTGTTAGAGAGACTTTGTGAGAAGATCTATTAATTTATGAGTGCTTCCAAGTGGATATTATTGTACAAGGGAGAAAGTTTGTTTGCTAGCAATTCTTGGGAACAACGATCTTCGATTAAGTTTTTCTTTCCTAAATCTTGTATTTGTTTGGATTTGATGAATGAACTCATATTTTCATTGTTTAAAATTCTTAGTAGCACTTAGATTTCATTTTCTCTCTTGTATTGGTAATCTAGGAAACTAGATATTAAACATGTTATGTAATTGATTTAATCTTGTAAAATAGTCATGTTTTAATTTTCTATGGTTCATTTACTTTTAATTTGACTAGTTGATCTGTAAAAAAATTATTGTGATCCATGTGTTTTTGTAAGAAAGCATAGTGAAGCAATTAATTTAAAGCACACC